TAGGACCAAAATAAAGTTTCCAGTTTGAAAATCAAAATAAATAGCTCTTTTTTCAGCAATTAACATTTGCCAGTATTGTTATAATAAGTGTCTGGAAGAGGACAAACTTGACATTTTTGATCCAGTATGTGAAATTTTAGCAAAGCTAATTTGCAAAGGGAATGGAATAGAATAGAGTTCTTTATTGGCCAAGTGTGATTGGACACACCAGAAATTTGTCTTGGTGCATATGCTCTCACATAAAAGAAAAGATTACATTCATCAAGAATCATAAGGTACGACACTTAATAATAGTCATAGGGTACAATAAGCAATCAAATCATACTAGGAAACAGTATAAATCATAAGGATATAAGCAATAAAGTTACAGTCTTACAGTCATAAGTGGGAGAAGATTGGTAAAAGTAGGGATGGGAAGATTAATCGTAATAGTAATACAGACTTAGTGAATAGTTTGAAAATGTTGAGGGAATTATTTCTTTAGCAGAGTGTTGGTGTTTGGGATAAACTGTCCTTGTATCTATTTGTTTTGATGTGCAGTGCTCTATCACATCATTTTGAGGGTAGGAGTTGAAGCAGCTTATGTCCAGGATCTGAGGGTTCTGTAAATATTTTCACAGCCCTCTTTTTGACTTGTGCAGTACATAGGTCCTCGATGGAAGGCAGGTTGGTAATAATTGTTTTTTCTACAGTCCTAATTATTTTCTGAAGTCTGTGTCAGTCTTGTTTGGTTGCAGAACCAAACCAGACAGTTATGGAGATGCAGATGACAGACTCAATAATTCCTCTGTAGGACTGTATCAGCAGCTCCTTGGGCAGTTTGAGCTTTCTGAGTTGGCACAGAAAGAACATTCTTTGTTGTGCTTTTGGATGATGTTTTTCATGTTGTGTCCATTTTAGGTCTTGAGATATGATAGTGTATAGTAATCCTAGTGTTAATACACATGTTTGTATTAAGATAGTAAGGGTTGAAGGATACAAACTTGTAAAGTTGCAAACACCACAGATAACATTTCAGAATAATCTCCCATAGAATGATGCAAAAGACAGGAGAGGTTATAGCAAATTGCAATCTGAGCTGGACCTGTTAGTAGGAATAGAGACAAGAATGAGCAGCAATACCTTGCAAGATGCATCAAACCTGCAGTCGAGATGTTTGTTATTTATTTGCAAAAGGCGAGTATTCTTTTTATTTGAAAACTACTTGCTCCGAGAGGTGAGCAGATGGATGTGACAAGGAGTGGCAGGTGAGAGGGTGGGGCAAGGCAGAGCCAGACATGGCAAGGAGAGGATGGGCAAAATGAGGTGCCCTTTGACATGAGTTACATTGAGTTGGCCATGCCCATTCAGCCATGCCTACCCAGCCACTCATTAGGGCAGAGAATCAGTTGTTAAATTATTTGAATCCCACCACCAATATTGAACAAGCCTGAAGTCAAATACAGGTAGAATGTATCACAAAACACTGATCACTGATAGGTTATTGTCAGATATTAGTGATGAAAAAGGCCTACTCAGAGTGATGGTAAGTTTCATCAACAATACATGCTATTTTTGACCATTTGTTATATGTGTACATATCTGCAAAAACACATGAAACTACTGAATATTTCTCAGAAGTTTATGATGCATGTACTGATTTCTGACAATGGTTGGATTCAAGGGAATAAAATATGTTTTTTTTTCCTCTCACTCTCTTTAATGATAGACCATACCTCTTGCTCTGTGCAATGATCATTGCCCACCAGGCTCCAGAAAGAAAATAAAGGAAAGTGAGCCTTTTTGTTGCTATGATTGTAATATTTGTCCATCGAGAAAATTTTCAAATGAAAGAGGTAGGAAATATTGAATTGTTATATTTATGCATGTGCATAAATAAAGTATGTATCCATAAAGACAGCCACAGAGATTTCACACAGAGATATCACACCCTTAGAGGTCATCTCACATTATTTGTGAGAGTCCCATTCTAGATGAGCTCTCCAAAAGCAAGTTTTAACAAATATCTATTTAACAGAGATGTGAATAGTTGTTAATGTTGCTGAACTACATCTACCTGCACTTCTGGCTTGGAGGATTGAAAGCAATGAATGATGAGAATTGTTGCACATTTCAGTTTCAAAATCCATAGTTGTCCACTGACGTTTAATGACATAGGATGTTTACAATTAGTAAATATTTCTCAGTAAGCAAACGTATGCAAAATTTGAAATACTGCTATGAATTCTGAAATACTACACATATTTTACCAGATATGGATGACTGCTTAGACTGTCCAGAAGAACAGTATCCAAACAAGGAAAAAAACCTGTGCATTCCAAAGGATCTAAATTTCTTGTCTTACAATGAAACTTTGGGCATCACTTTGGCTGTTCTGGCTTTATCATTTTCTGTGACCACAGTGGTGGTACTTGGAATTTTCATAAAACATCGGAATACTCCGATTGTCAAAGCTAACAACCGGAATCTCACTTATCTTCTCCTTGTCTCCCTCTTCCTCTGCTTCCTCTGTTCCTTGCTATTCATTGGTCAGCCCCAATTGCTGACCTGTCTTCTTCGTCAAATTGCTTTTGGGATCATCTTCTCAGTTGCTGTCTCTTCAGTTTTGGCCAAAACCCTCACAGTGGTTCTAGCTTTTATGGCTACTAAGCCAGGATCAAAAATGAGAAAATGGGTGGGGAAAAGATTTTCAAATTCTCTGATTCTCTGTTGTTCCTGCATTCAAGCAAGTATTTGCATATTGTGGCTGTGCACTGGCCCTCCGTTCCCAAATTTGGACATGCATTCTCTTCCAGAAGAGATTGTAGTTGAATGCAATGAAGGATCAGGCAACATGTTCTATTATATTTTAGGATATATGGGGTTTCTTGCTCTCATCAGCTATATTGTGGCTTTCTTTGCTCGAAAACTGCCAGACTCTTTTAATGAAGCCAAATTTATTGCTTTCAGCATGCTGGTGTTTTGTAGTGTATGGGTGACTTTTGTACCAACTTATCTGAGCACGAAAGGAAAATACATGGTAGCTGTGGAGATCTTCTCCATCTTGGCTTCCAGTATAGGAATATTGGGATCTATCTTTTTCCCTAAATGCTACATAATCCTACTGAGACCAGAACTCAACACAAAGGAGCACCTAAAAATGAAAAATTAACAATTACTGCTATCTATTGATTTGAAGAAGTTAGCACTGGCTTTATGTGGAAAGTTTGGGAGATAGAATGTTGCTCAGTTGTGAGCAGAAAGAAAATGTAGGAAAAAAAATATATAGCTCCAACTTGATCTCACTTTCCTTAAAATGGAGAAAGGGGATCCTTTGGAATAGCTATCAAGTGTCTGTAAATATAACATATAACAATAAAGTAATATTCCTGTAATCCCTGCAGGATCAGTTTTGTGGCCTGGCCTACTTGAAAATATTGACATGTTATTTGGAAGTAAACATATTTGATTATAATATTTCTTTTTCAGCCCTTAAAACAATGCATCTCATCAGCTAAACAAAGGCAAGATACTATATTTATCTCACTGTATAAACTGTATATTTAGGTTCACTTTTATCCTCCATTTCATACTTATTTCATATTACATATCCTCTCATTAAAATATTTCAATTATGACTGCTCTATGAAAAGTACAGTGAAAGGAAGATTGCTAACCATTGTTAAAAATAAAACCCATAATAGATGAAAATATAATGTACAATGGGCAAAGAACATGCCTTCTCAGAATCTGTGGAGGTGAGAAAAAAATGATTGGCTGGTTCAAGCCTAGAGGATGGTGAATTCTGAGAGTTGAAGGCCACACATCATAAAATTGCTGAGGTTGAGAAACACTGAGCTCAAAATTTTCAGTGTCAGCTCCTTTATTTGAAGCCACAGTAAGCTAACCCATCTCAACCAGTCTGATTTCTTGGCTAGCATGCTTCACAAAGTGAGGCATAAAAAAGTATGAAGGTGATAATGGCTAATTTATTTATACCTAAAAATAGAAACTATTTGTAACTGGAGACACCATGTCTGCCCTACTTCAGACATAATTGTATGGTTCTTTTGGTCATAAGAATTCATTACAAGATATTTAATGGATAAAGTCAAAGGACTGTTCACTCCATCATATTATTTCCTCAATGGAGCAAAGGGTTGCCTATAGGAAGCTTAAACATGGATATGATCATGCCCTTAAGAACCAACTTATTTCTTGTCCTGGAAGTATGAGACCAATTTATGCCTCGTAGCCACTGATAAATTTATCTTCAGTGGTCTGCAATGCTTTCTAAGATACTGGACATCACAAGATCATATGGAAGCAAATTATTTAGCTGGATATGTTATTTAGCAGTACTCTTTTCCTTGGGCAGAATTCTCCTTAACAGACCTTCTTACTTCAGTTTGTTTAAATGTTGTTTCCAAAAAACTTTGTTGGCTATGTAAAGCATATGTTTACTTTGAATTATGTATCCTGTTAGCATATTGGAAAAGAATTATTGATAGCTATCTTCCATTATCAAGGAGACTGTCACAAACAAAATGGGGTCAACCTATTCTCCAAAGCCCCTAAGAACAGGACAAGAAGTCATGGATAGAAACTAATGAAGGAGAGAATGAGCCTAGAACTAAGAGAAAAAAATCCTAACAGAACAATTAATCGATGGAAAGGTTTATTCCAGAAGTCACAGGTACTCCATCACTGAAGATTTTTAAGAACAGCCATTTGAGAAGTGGAGCCAGCTGCCAGAGAGAGTGGAAGTGTGAATGGAGATCTTTGCTTCATCAATCCACTTTTTCCTTGTGTTCATGGGACTTGTTGGAGTCAAGGAGATCCTGGAGCGATAGCCGGAAGAGTGGGCATCTTGTGGAATGCTTTCGAGCAGCGTTTGTGGTGGAACACGATTAGAAAATCAACAAGAACTAATCAAATGGACCAGGAGGGAGATAGTTAGCAAGTTACCACCAGATTTGTGACCTATCCTACTTGAAAAGGTTGATGCAATTACATAAAGGTTCAGTTATATAAAAGGCATACTACTAGGATACTATTAGATACCAATAAACAGTACCTAGAGCATGTTACTCCTGAAGGAACTGGCAGAGACAATTGGAGAAACTTGGTCCCACAAATATTCTGCTCTTATATAATGTAGAACTTTGTAGATTGCATGAGCTACATCAGCAAGCTATTAACATTTATCAATAAATACATTAAGCAGCCAGAGGCATGTTACTAATTACTACATTTTGAACTGTTCTCATAAATTCTAAGATATGTTTTACTTTTGTCATATCGATATACCTTGGTGCATTCAGCAGCCAAGTTTCAATGTCATATTCAATCAGAACATATACTAACATGATTTAGTTATCATGCAATTTCTCTAAATCAAATATTGCCTTTTATGAGATATACTTTACACCACAAAAGGCAAGATACTGTTTTTATCTCAAGCATAGCATATTTCCTACAAAATTATTCTTCTCATTGACACTAAGTTGAACACACACACACACACAAATTATGTGTGTGTGTGTGTGTATGCCTAATAAATCCACTCTAACAAATCTAATAAAAATAGATGAAACAAAAATTTATTAGATTATATCCCTAATAAATCTATTCCCAGTAAATCAAATCTAACAATTAGATCTAGGGATAATTTATGACATGTGTATTCCTAAAAATATTCCCAATAATTATAATTGAAACATTTAATATATACCTATTTATTATATTCCTAAAATATATAATATGTAGCTCTCCTTTTATTCAGCAGCTCCAGTACTTTATAATCTACAAAAAATCACCATAAGGCTCAAACCAACAATGGAGTCAGAGGAAGAAGAGAAGAAGGAGGAGTAAATGTGACTCCATACCTTATGATTATCTAAGATTGTAATTATGAAATCATCATTACTCTAAGGCAGAAAGTTTTTTTTCCCATTCTAATCGCATATTGGTATATAACTCCTGAACTGATGAAAGGGAAAGTTGGCATATGTATGTATGAATGTATGTATGTATGTATGTATCCATCCATCCATCCATCCATCCCTCTATAGATTCAGCAGACCAATACATATGCACTGGTAGGATCCAGAATCGTAAAGACCATGGCATACTAAACAGCTGCATGATGACAATTAAAATAGGAGTAAGAAATCTTAAATTAAGGGACAATCATTGTGCCTGTTGCATGAGAGAGTCCTTCATGTCCCTGACACTTCTTGTTTGTTTGCTGCTGCTTCCACAAACTGATTGTGTGATATCTCCTGCTGTGTGTGGCATTCCTGAATCTCTGAAAGTGCATTACCAATATTTTCAGCCAGGTGATGTGATAATTGGTGGGATCATTTCACAGCTTTTCTCTGTTTCTGAAGGGATAGACTTCAGATCACACCCTACACCCAAGTGTGATGTTGAACCAATGTAAGAAAATCCTCACTGATTTCTGCAATACTTGGCTATTTTATGGCAGTGTCACTGATATACTTTCAGCAACTTGACCTAGATTCTAGAAATCAGATAATTTTTATTCCTTCATCCATTTATTCTGACCTTCTGGTAATAGAAAATAGGAGATTTTGAAATGGTGGTCAGAACCAAAACACTCATGTGGCAGCCATGTTAGTTTTCATCCCAACAACTGTTATCTTATTGCTCCTGGTTTTAACCCAACTATTTGGCTTAAACTTAAAGCTCCAGCACTCAGCAAGTAGTTTGGATAGTTTGATCTAAACTTCTCTTCAAGCACTGTGATTCTATGATATTTGCCACATCGCCTGGTATGCTCTGAGTTCATTCTTTAACATTTGATAGGATCAGTCAGTCAGTAAGACATGTTAGATTTGATTGTGTGAAGTGGGAAAACCTGCCTTAGTTTTGGATCAATCTTTTTTTGCTTAAATCCTTGGTATTATATACATAGCACTATTTGTATCCAGAGATGTTCTACTCAAAAATCATTGGAGTGAAATATCTTCCTATTTCTCTGAGCTTATGAGAGGTGAGAAGCAAGTGATGGTTTAGCATATTGGTTACATGTAATTTGATCTGGTCTAGAAGAAAAACTATCCATCATTGAATAGTTTCACTGCATAAGTTAATGAAGCAACATTTGTTTCTAAGCACACATTAGGATGGTTGAAATATTGGAGAAAAGCAGCTCCATTGCAAGCAAACAAACTAGTCTTCTAGTTAAAGGTAATTTCATTCCAAGTGTCAGGTTTCTCATTTTCCAATGTTCCCCAATAATAAATATAGGGTACCTATTGCAGGAGTAGCATTGAAAATGACAACACTGAACATCAGGTCTTACCCAAGTTGTGTCTTTTACTTTAGTATAATGCTGAAAAAATATCAGCACACCCTAGCCTTGGTGTATGCGGTGAATGAAATCAATGGAAACAGCATGATCTTACCCAATAGGACTCTGGGATTTCATATCTATGATAGCCACTTTGATGCCCAGCTAACTTACCAGAACACACTGAACCTACTTTTTAATCAGAAGCCAACTATTCTGAACTACAAGTGCAGCAAGAAGATACCAGCAGCTGTCATTGGGGGTACTGACTCAGAAACCTCTGTTCACATAGCTACTATCTTAGGGATTTACAAGATTCCTCAGGTAAGGTGGATTACACATGTATTGTTTAGGAATTTATTATCTATTACAGTATTTCTCAATCTTGACAATATTAAGATTGGTGGACTTCAACTCCCAATGATGTACTTAAAAGGTTATTAAGAAATTTATTATCCACACACATTAAGAAAATATTTGCATTCGTTAAGAAACTTATTATGTACAGAATATTGTTTAGATTTTCTCTATAGTGATGTACCAAAAGCAGGTTGATCTGAGCAGAAATAAGCTTCTTCTAAGTTTAGTGTGAGAATACAAAGACTTTTAAGATCTCATTGCCAGCACCACAAAATCATTTTCCTCCTTAATGTGATGCAATTTCTTTCTCCTTTGCTGGTAATGTGATATTTCAGGAAGGGAGAGATGTTGCATTTTTTTTCCTCTCATTTGCTCTGTGGTAAATTTGTTTATAAAAATCTTAGTGAAATTTAAAACTTGATTTAATTATACAAGTTATGAATGGATAATATGCATAAAAGGGCTTCCTTGTTGGAAGGACATTCTCACAATGCTCACTGGTGTTTATCTTTAATATGTGATGATCTTCTTTCTGTTTTCATTCTTTACCCTGGTCTTAACTATTCCTTCTATTTTTCTTTCTCTTAGTTCCTTTTGCACTCTTTATTCCTTATAATTGCATTAGAGAAGGAGATCAAAATTAATCTGATACATGAATAACCACTGATGTTTTAAAAACTCTTTTAAACTTATATAAAAGATAAACATGATAAAAGGAATGTTTCATATTAATTGTTAATTTAGGTGCAGTGGTGGGATTAATTTAATTTAATACCAGTGATGCTATTCTACTGATTCAGCCCAGTTCTGGCATACTGGTAGTGCTGAAGATCAGCAGAGACCAAACTGGTTCTCTGTGATAAGGTGCTATTGGGCCCATCCACCCAACTGGGCTCCCGTACTGATCTTTATTCCCTGCTTTTGAAGTGCAGCTGCTTTGTGCAGAATAGCAGAATGCTGCATGTCAGCTGCTCAAGCTACAGGGAGAGTGCAAAATTGCAGGAATGAGTACAAAAGCCTCTATATGTGTGCAAAGGCTGATGGTGGGAAAGAGAGATCTTCTAAACCTGTGATGTTTGGCTGAACAGGGTGACATGGCGAGGCTTGTCTGCCTTTCAGTCACAGTTCTCAGCTTCTTCAGGACCTCCATGGGACTGCCACCCACTAACCCTTCCTTCTGCCACCAGCCCTGCATCCAGTCTGCAACAGGGGGATACACTACTACTGGGGGTAGGCAATTGGGGAAAAAAGCAGCCCTCATGGGAGAATGCCATGCTGGGATCAGGTCATCTACCTGCTTACCAGGAGTGCTGCTTCCAGGCATTGGCCCCATTGGGATCTGAAGGACAGGACACTCAGGCTGGCAGAAGTATGAGAAAACTCTGGAGCCCCTTAAGGCCTATGATCAGGTCATCCAAGACTTCCTGGAAAGGGCTTTGTCATAGAGGGCTGTGTTCTGGCACCAGGTGCTTTTCCTTAAGCCTTTCATCTGGAGGCACTGCAGAAGCTGAGAGCCTGGCCCAAAAGATGGATGAGCTTCGTTGTGTTCCCCCCAGGCACCCTTTCAGGCAAGCACAGCAGGCCTAGAGTTAGTCTCCTTCCTCTGCCATTGGCCTCACCCTCTCACCCAGGCAGCCAGGAGGCCAGGCAAGGAGTAGCTGGGAGGGGATGGTTGAGTGGCTGGGCGTGGCGATCAGTAGTGGGATTCAGCAGTTCACTGAACTGCAAAAAAAAAAAAAAGCTACTGATTCAACTGAACTGGTGTGAACCAGCTGAATCCCACCTCTGGTTAGGTGGTAGCATTTAGTTGGCACTGACTTCTCTTAGATTGTAAACAGGGAAATAAACGGAATAATAATTAATCAAAAATAAATAATGAAAAATTAGGACACATAGACGAACATTTCATGCATTATTCATTCTTCATGAATTATTAACTAGAGATGGGAAATGGATGACAAAAGAAATAATATGTCTAAATGCACATAAAAGAAGTCATGAGGGGAGAAGGGAGGAGCTTGCGCCGTGACGATACGGTCTGCAATCGAGCTCCTCGATTGCAGCCGATATCTCCATTACTGGCCGGTCCAAACGGACCTATGCTGTCCCGTAGGGACAGCTATCGTGAAGAGCATACCCTGAGGACTCCGGGGATATCGCAAAATCCCTGGAAGACCCGGGTGAAGCTCTCTTTGCTGGCGGTGGAGAGGCAGCCCCCATGCTGCTGAAGTCGGGGCGGCTCCAGAAAGAACGGGTCTGAGAGAGAGTCTGTCGATTGGGTGAGAAACTTTTTTTTATTTAATTTTTTGAGTCTTGAAAGTCCACTCTGATTATTAGAAGAAATCTGTGTGATTTTTTTTTCTTTTGACAAAACTGACTAAGCGGTGTTTTTTTAAGGGAGACGTCAAAGAGAGAATCTATTTGCTTTTTTTTCCTTTGCTTCCGGACTTTATTGTTATTTACTGGATAACTGGACTGTTCCTTTTTATATTCATATGTTTTATTCTTCCTTTGGATTTTTCATTTTTAGGCTAGAGGCTCCCTTTGTTTATTTTTTTATTCTTTTTTGCTTTTATATGTTTGTGTATTCCGTGCCGGCTTTTCTTTTTTTTTATGCTGTTCAGAGAGGAGGGGGGAAAGTGAGAACTAAGAAACTTTGTAACACTGCCAACTAGAGGCTTGGAAACATTTTACTTGAACTGGAAAAAGACGAAGTATCTCTTCTCAAGGACATCTTCTGATAAGATAGAGGAAAGCACTTTGTAGAATATTATTACAGGTGTCTTTCTGGACATTTATGGCTTAGCTTTGAAGCTTGTGGGAAAGAGAAGGGAGTCATAATTAGAGCCTTGGACAATTAAATAGAGTGCAGTGTATTGCTGCTTACTTTCTTTTTCTAATTCTTTTTTTTTAGTTCCGCTACCCCCTCCATCAGCATCAAGGTCTTCATTTTTAAGTTTGATTTATTTGCAAAGGGAAGCCTCTGAATCTTTTTTATTTTTATTTTATTTTGATTTATTTTACTCTATTTTTTCTCCTTTCTATTTGGATTCTGCTTTTCTTTTTAATGTATATTAATGGACTATTTCTTTTTTTCTTTTTTCAATTGAGATTTTTTTTTTTGCTGGATTAAGGTGTGGAATTTGAAGATATTTATTCTTCTTGTTTTTTGTTTTGTTTTTTCTCTCTTTTTCTCTTTTCCTTCTTTTTGGCTTTGGCCTTGTTTATTATTATTATTACTGGGTTTTTATTCTTATTTTTACTCTCTTTTGTGGATTATTTTTTTTAATTGGATTAAGGTCAGGAAGAATTTGAAGAATTTTTTCTTTTTTTCTCTTTTTTTGCTCTTTTCCTTTTTCTTTTTCATGTTTTTCTTCTTTTTCTCTCATTATTGATTCCTTTTTATTATTGGCCTTTTTATCTGGGATTATAACTGGCTACCCTTTTTGGATTAAAATTTGAAAGAACTTGAAGAGCTGGAACCATTTAAAATGAGTAAGAAACTTATATCTTCGGGTGCCTCTATGTCTACTTCTGCCTCCCCACCATCTGGACAGCATTCAATTCAGACAATGTTAAAGCAAGATAAAGAAAAAGAAAAAGAACAAGAACAAGAAAGAGTATCTTTTCAGATGATTATGCAAGGAATTCAAGTTCTTAAGGTAAAATAGATACCATTGAACAAAGAACAGGGAGGACGGAGGAAAAAGTGGAAAGTATTCAACAGATGATGGTAAAATATGAGGAGAGACTTCAAAAAGTCGAAGAGGGGGGCAAGCGAAGAGAGGAGAAGATTGGAAATATTGATAATAGACTAACAGTGATTGAACAAGAGAAAAGCGGGATGTTGAAGTGGGAGTTGGATAGATCAGAATTCTATCTCAGATTTCAAAATATAGAAGAAGAAAAAGGACAAGATTTGGCTGCGATAATGGTAGGAATCTTGGCAGATGCGTTGGAGATAACAGAAGAGAAGATGATGGATGGAATAGATGAGATATATCGAGTTTTTACAAGATATGCGATGAGAAATAATCTGCCCAGAGAAGTTCATATTAGATTTACTAAAAAATCTATGAAGGCACAAATATTACAAGTGGCAAGAGAGAAGATATTGAAATATAAAGGTAAAGAAATTTTGGTTTTAAAACAAATACCTAGAAGAGTGAGAGAGATGAGAAGAGAATATCGATTCCTGACCAAAATGTTAATGAAAAAGGAGGTGACTTACAGATGGCTGATCCCAGAAGGATTGATGTTTACGTGGCAGGAACAGAGACATAGAATTGATTCAATTGAGAAAGCAGAACTGTTCTATGCAGAAGTTTTTGGAGGGAGAGAAGGAGAGGCAGAAAAGGAGGTTCCATTAACTGAATCCCAAGAGAAACAAATGGAGATTGGAAAAGAAGAAGGTGCAGTAGATGGACAAGTGGATATTAAAGATCAGCGTGAATCAAGACCCACGAGAGTGGTTAAATCTAAATATAAAATATAATCATGGAAGAGAAAAAACTGATTACAATGAATATAAATGGATTGAATTCAGCTGCTAAGAGAAGGAAGATTTTCCATAAATTAAGGAAACTAAAGTTTGATATAATTTGTCTACAAGAAGTACATATTAAAAAGCAACATGAACAATTGTTATTACAACCAAAGTTAGGGAAATTGTTTACCTCTTTGACTCAATGTAAGAAAAGAGGGGTGGTCTTATATATTAAAGAGGCTATCCCAGCAAAAATGATTTATACAGATGAAGATGGGAGAATATTAATGGTGGAAATAATGGACAATAATAGAAAGATACTTTTGACTGCAATTTATGCCCCGAATGATAAACAGGAAGAATTCTATAAAAAATTACACACCAAGATGGCTGAACTGGACTATGCTAATATAATTATGATGGGAGATTTTAATGGAATTGTGGATAATAAACTTGATTATATTGCGACAGCAGCAAAGCATAATAGAAAAACTCTTCCTAAATCTTTTTTTAAAATGATAGATGAATTAACTTTAAAAGACATATGGAGAGAAAGAAATATTAAACTTAAGCAATATACGTTCTATTCAAATAGGCATTTATCATGGTCCAGACTTGATATGATTTGGATCTCAACAGACTTAATATCTAGTATTCAAGAAGTAAATATTGAAACAAGTACTTGGGCTGATCATAACCCATTGACAATTAAATGGAAGGGACAAAAAAAAAGATCGAGATGGACATTAAATAATACTATTTTAAAGGAGAAATAATTTATACAATGGATGGAGAAAGAATTGCCTTTTTTTTTTTAAGAGAATAGAAAAGAAGAAACTTCAATACAGAATGTTTGGGATACAATGAAGGCTTATGCTAGAGGCTTGATAATAGACTATACAAGAAAAAAGAATATTAGGAAAAGGCAAACTTTCAAAGCCTTGGAGGATGAATATAAAAGACTCGAAAAACAACTGCAGAAAATACCACAGAGAAAAGACGTCAAATTGAAACTGGATATAACTAAACATAAAATGGACTTAATAGAGAAAGAAGAACTGGCACAGAAAATTAGGAATGCTAAACAGAATTATTTTGAAGATGCAAATAAGCCAGGTAGATGGCTAGCATATAAGTTGAGAAAGGAGAAAGAGTCGAGGAAAATATTGCAGTTAATAGATGACCAAGGTAAAACTTGTCATGGCAGCAAAGAGAAAAAAGAAATTATTTATGATTTTTACAAACATTTGTATAAGAAAGAAGATATTGATGAGGAGAAAGTTAAACAATACCTGCAGAATGCAAATCTACCTAAGATACCTAAAGAGATTGAAGAAATGTTAGAAAGCAATATAACAATGATGGAGTTAAGCCAAGCACTTAAGAAACAAAATAATGGAAAGGCACCAGGTCCAGATGGGTTTCCTGTAGAATTTTATAAAACCTTTCAAGAATCATTGTGTATTCTACTGTTAGAAGTTATGAATGAAGTTATGTTGAAAAAGATAATACCTAAAACATGGTCAGAGGCTTATATTACACTTATTCCAAAAGAGGAGGCGGACCTACTTCAAATCAAGAATTATAGACCGATTTCCTTATTAAATGCAGATTATAAAATTTTTGCTTCAATATTAGCAGAAAGACTTAAAAAGTATCTGAATAACTTTATCCACCCAGATCAAAATGGGTTTCTGCCAAAGCGACAAATTAGAGACAATATGAGAGTAATTTTGGACACCTTGGAATATTATGAGGCGCATCCTGAAAAGCAAATGGCTTTGATATTTTTAGATGCTCAAAAGGCATTTGATAACGTAAATTGGAGATTTATGTTACTTTTAATGGAACAGATGGGCTTTGCTAGAAGATTTATTCAAGCAATAGAAGCAATCTACAATGAACAAACAGCTAAGGTAATGATGGAGGGAGAATTTACAGATCCTATTAATATAAGAAAAGGCACAAGACAAGGTTGTCCTCTTTCGCCCTTGTTATTTGTATTGACTTTGGAAGTGTTGAATAGAAATATCAGAGAAGATAAAACTATAAAAGGAATGAAAATTAAAAAGGAAGAATTTAAACTACAAGCTTTTGCAGATGACCTAGTCTTTATCCTGGAAGACCCTATAGAAACAGCCTCGAAGCTGTTGGAAAAGATAGAGGCATATGGGGAGGTGGCCGGTCTGAAAATAAATAAAGATAAAACAAAGATTTTGTCAAAGAATATGTTGCTGAGACAAAGAGAAGAACTGGCAGAATTGTTAAAAATTCAAGTTACAAATAAGGTTAAGTATTTGGGGATATATTTGACGTCAAGATCTAGTACATTAAAGGAGAACAATTATATTAAACTTAAACAACAGATAGCCCAAGATTTGAAAAAATGGGAAAACCTACAATTGTCATTAATAGGAAGGATCTCAACAATTAAGATGAACATCTTACCCAGAATTTTATTTTTGTTTCAAACAATACCAATTAGGCTTGGAAAAGAATATTTTGAAGATTTAAATAAAATTGTTTTGAAGTATATATGGCAAGGCAAGAAAGCAAGGATAAAGTTAAAGCTTTTACAGGATGCTAGATCTAGAGGAGGGTTTGGCCTGCCTAATTGGGAGTTGTACTACCAAGCTGCAAATTTGACATGGGTTAAAGAATGGATAACATTAAGGAAAACTAGATTGTTGACATTAGAAGGTCATGATTTGTTGTTGGGTTGGCATGCTTTTTTATGGTATAAGGGAACCAAAACACAGGGGTACTTTAGAAGACATTATATACGGGAGTCTCTGTGCTTAAACTGGGAGAAGACAAAAAAACAATGTTACTTGAAAATTCCAGTTTGGTTATCAACGATAGAAGCGTTTTCTTACCCGATAATCTATAAAAAGGAACAAACAGTTAGCTATGGGGAATTACTAGATGAAAAGGGTGAACTTAAATCGATGCAAAAATTAGAGGAACAAGGTATACAGATGAATTGGTTTTCATATCTGCAAATACATGCAAAGTATTATGAGGATTCCAAAGCAGAGGGATTTTATGATAAACAAACTGATTTAGATAAGATTTTGATGGGTACTGATGAAAAGGTGATTAAAAAACTATATGGTTACTTATTGGAAATTAAGCTGGAGGAAGAACAAGTTAAAGAAACTATGATTGCTTGGGGGAGGAATTTTGGATATGGGATTGACTTAGAGAAATGGCAGAAATTATGGTTGCAAAATTATAAAATGACAATGTCTACAGCCTTTAAAGAAAATTTGTATAAGATGTTTTACAGGTGGCATTTCCCCCCGACAAGGATAGCAAGAATGTTCAAGAACAAATCCGAAAAATGCTGGAAATGTCATCAGAAACCTGGTTCATACTACCAAAAGAAGTCATGATGATATGGAATTTGTTATGCAGAACAAATAGTGTATTTTATTATTTATTTATTTTGGTTTGGTTTAGCTCATGTTAAGGATGCAGAAAACTAAATAGTACATAGAGTCAGCTTGTGATTGGAGCAGCCTTTGGGTATGCTGTACACTAATTAAATGTTGTTTTAAAAAAGAAAGTGAAAACTACTGTGTTTTTGTGCTTGACCCTTTTTATATTTCCCTATTATATAATGTAATTATGTTGGCCTTTAGGTCTCCTATTGTGTATATTCTCCACCAGTGAATGATATAAGCCATCCATCTTTCTTATACCGTATGGTACCTAATGAAGCACATCAGTACACAGGAATAGTCAACCTATTGCTGCATTTTCAGTGGAAGTGGATTGGGATCATGGCTATGGATGATGATAAAGGAGAAATATTTGTGCAGACCTTGGAGAAAAGCTTTTCTGACAATGGAATCTGCACCGCCTTCTCTAAACGAATGCCCCTCCAAAGCAATATTTTAGACATGGTTGTTAATTTCAGTGATATGTTTAGGGAAATGGCCCTGTTGCTGAGTAAAGCAAATGTCAATGTCTGTGTTATCAGTGCTGATGCTCACATGATGTTAGATTTACAGATGGTGCTCAGTTCTGCTGAATCAGATATGATGCTGCCTGTGCAGAACGTATGGGTGATGACAGCCCATTGGGATTTTTCACTGGAGCCCTTTCTAAATAGTTTAAATATGCAGATCTTCCATGGTGCCCTGTCCTTTGCAACTCACACCTCAGAGATGTCAACATTTCAGAATTTCCTTCTCTCCCAGGACCCCCATTCTCTTACCAATCATTTTGTCAGAGTCTTCTGGGAACAAGCATTTAAATGTTCATTTCCAGCTTCTGCAACAGACAAGGAGAACCTTGGAAGCTGTACTGGCAATGAGAGACTAGAAAGCCTTCCGCAGCCTTTTTTTGAAATGAGAATGACCAGTCAAAGCTACAGTGTTTACAATGCTGTCTATGCTCTGGTGCATGCTTTGCATGCCTTTTATTCATGCAGAAGGAAATACGGAGCAGTGCTTGTTAGAGATCACCCAAGAACTTCAAAATTACAGTATTTTCAGGTAATATCTCACCTCAGAGGCAGATTATTTTTGATGCATCAATGATGTTGATAATATTAGGGTCTTCATTTATATAAGGATTCTCATTCTGAATATAATGCATTACTGAGCATTCCCAGAGGAGATACAAAGAAGGCAAGACAGTGACTTTATGACCACAAGCGGGACCAACTTTTCCATTTCTATGCAAGTCAGCTATTAAGTGAAACCTGTCCATTTTTTTGTCATGATTGGTAAGTAAGTTGTTATAGTTGTTAAGTGAATTATATGATCATTAAGTGAATCCAGCTTTTCCCATTGACTTTGCTGTGAAAAACTGGATGGGAAGATTACAAATGGTGAACAAAAGACTCCAGGACACTGCAACTATTGTAACTACATACCAGTTGCCAAGTGCTCAAATTTGATCACATGACTGTAAGGATGCAGCAATAGTTATAAGTGCAAGATGTAGTTGTAAGTTATTCTTTCAGGGCCATTATAACTTTTAATGATCACTAAATGAATGGTTGTAAGTCTAGGACAACCTGCAAACAATGGAGATAAATACATGTAAATAACAATAGCATTTAGACTTATACACCACTTCACAGTGCTTTACAGCCATCTCTAAGCGGTTTACAGAGTCAGCCTATTACCCGCAACAATCTTGTTCCTCATTTTGCTGACCTTGGAAGAATGGAAGGCTGAGTCAACCTTGAGCCTGGTGAGATTTGAACTGCCAAATTGCAGGCAGCCAGCAGTCAGCAGAAGTAGCCTATAGTATTGCACTCTAACCACTGCACCACCATGGAAAATAGACTCCATAATGGCAATAAAAGGATGAAGGTTTTTCTGAGACTATCGTTTTTGTATGTTTTGAAAGAAATGAGAGATGTATTCTTGCAGATGCAGGATGCTACCAAATCCAGAATTTAGGATTTTATCCATCCTTTTGCAAAATATTCTAATTTAAGTAAATAATAAAAATTGCACAATAAGTTGTAGCAGAAAAAATACATAACTGCTAAATAAAGTCTTGAAAACTGCCCAGAAGGTAGACAACATATCAATTTAATTTAGTAGAAGTGCCATATTTCCCTGGAAATAAGACCCGGTCGTGTGTGTGTGTGTGTGTGTGTGGTATTTAGGTTTCTTCAGGTATGTTCCCACCTCTTAATATTTGTGCTTTTGTTATAGCGATGTTTCGGCAGTCTTTGTCCATTTTGAAGGCAGTCTTGATGTGATGCCTGCGTAGTATCTTGCTGATTTTGTCTGTTGTTCCTCTTATGTAGGGCAGGTGTTTTGTTCTGGTAATTAGTGTTCTGGCTATGGATTTTACTTATGGTGGTTGGTGGTAGGATTGAGCATTTAGGTAGCAGTTGGTGAGTGTTTCTTTCTGGTATATGGTGTGTCCTAGTGTGCCATCTTTTTTTTGTAGATTAGTACATCTAGGAATGGTAGTTGTTTGTTTCCGTTTCCATGGTGAATTTGATTTTGGGATGTGTATTGTTTAGTTGTGTTAGGAAATTGTTTAGGTTTTTTCTCCATTGAGCCAAATAACAAATGTATCATCAAATTATCTTAGCCATAGTTTGGGTTTGTGTGTGGCATTTGCCAGGGCTCTGGATTCAAATCCTTCCATGAACAGATTTGCAATTATGGGTGACAGTAGTGATCCCATGGGGGCTCCTTCGATCTGCTTGTATCTTTGTCCTTTGTATATAAAATATGTGTTGGTTAAGCAGTTTTCTATTAGTTCCATGAGGTGCTTGGGTGGTTTGTATTTGTTTTTGATGATCTGTAGGGTTTCTTTCACTGGGACTTGGGTGAATAGTGAAACCACATCGAAACTTATTCATATATGTATTGCCACAAAAAAATCACCATATCTTCCAATGACTCACCTCACTTGATGTGTTGCTCATGGCCTCCTTTTCACTATCAGAGGCCTTCAGGAACTATATGCACACCAAATACAAGCACGACGGATATGACCTTGTTGATGATCCTCACTCTGTCAAGGACCTTGGAGTTCTCATATCGAATGACCTAAGTACCAAAGATCACTACAACAGTATTGCCAAAAAGGTTTTAAGAGTTGTAAATTTAATTTTATGAAGCTTCTCCTCTGGTAATACTGTTTTGCTAACTAGGACATTCAAAACCTTTGCTAGACCAATATTTGAGTTCAGGTCTGCTGTCTGGAATCCACACTGTATATCAGACATAAATACAATTGAGCAAGAAGTATTTTACCAGAAGAGTACTACATTCCTCTGTTCTCAATAGGATACCCTACATCAACCAGACTGCAGATTTGAGGCTTAGACAACTTTGAACTACACTGGCTAAAATTGGACTTAAGCATAGTACATAAAATCATATGTTACAATGTCTTGCCAGTTAATATTTCAGCTTTAAACACAACAACACAAGAGCACACAACAGATATAAACTTAATGTAAACCACTCCAAAGTTATAGCAGAAAAAATATATAACTGCTTAATAATCACTTGGAAATTGCCCAGAGATACTGGAAGGTAAACAATACATAAATTTAATTTGGTAGAAGCAGTAATAGTAGTGGTAGTAGAGGTAGCAGCATAGTAGCAGCAGCGGCAGCAGTAGTAATAGTATTCCCTTGGCAGGTAGTAAACCTTAACTTTGAAATACCTGTGACATCGGTATACCAAAATATTTCTATGTCAAAAGAAAATTTAGTCTGTTTGTTTGAAATCCATTATCTACTAGTTCTTAGTATCCTTTTAAAACTGAGCTGACTGAAATATTTGATTGGGGAATGAAATAATGGGATGACCAATAATGGAGTGATAAAATAATTAAATAGTTTCTGAGTATAGCAAAACTCAGAAACCAAACAATTCCCAGCCAAACAATTTTCACTGTTTCGACCACTTTGGTAATAATCCTTGCCAAAACTTCTTTTCCTCCAGCTTTACCATTTCCTAAGTCAAGTCTCCTTTAACAGCTGTGCCGGAGACCTGGTATCTTTTGACAAGAAGGGTGAATTGCTAGCTGGATTTGACATTATCAACTGGGTAACTTTCCCTAACAAATCCTTCATGAAAGTAAAAGTGGGACAAATGGATCCTGAAGCACTATCAGACAGAAGGTTCTCCATAAATGAAAGAAAAATCACATGGCCAGCCCATTTTAACCAGGTAGGACCAAAATAAAGTTTCCAGTTTGAAAATCAAAATAAATAGCTCTTTTTTCAGCAATTAACATTTGCCAGTATTGTTATAAGTGTCTGGAAGAGAACAAAATTGATATTTTTGATCCAGTGTGTGAAATTTTAGCAAAGCTAATTTTCAAAGGGAATAGAATAGAATAGAATTCTTTATTGGCCAAGTGTGATTTGACACACCAGAAATCTGTCTTTGGTGCATGTGGTCACACATAAAAGAAAAGATGACATTCATCAAGAATCATAAGGTACGACACGTAATAATAGTCATAGGGTACAATAAGCAATCAAATCATACTAGGAAACAGTCAGTATAAATCCTAAGGATATAAGCAACAAAGTTACAGTCATACAGTTATAATTGGGAGAAGATTGGTGAAAGTAGGGATGGGAAGATTAATTGTAATAGTAATACAGACTTAGTGAATAGTTTAACAGTGTTGAGGGAATTATTTCTTTAGCAGAGTGATGGTGTTTGGGATAAACTGTCCTTGTGTCTATTTGTTTTGATGTGCAGTGCTCTATAGCTTCATTTTGAGGGTAGGAGTTGAAACAGCTTATGTCCAGGATCTGAGGGTTCTGTAAATATTTTCACAGGCCTCTTTTTGACTTGTGCAGTACACAGGTCCTTGATGGAAGGCAGGTTGGTAATAATTGTTTTTTCTACAGTCCTAATTATTTTCTGAAGTCTGTGTCTGTCTTGTTTGGTTGCAGAACCAAACCAGACCGTTATAGAGATGCAGATGACAGACTCAATAATTCATCTGTAGGACTGTATCAGCAGCTCCTTGGGCAGTTTGAGCTTTCTGAGTTGGCACAGAAAGAACATTCTTTGTTGTGCTTTTGGATGATGTTTTTCATGTTGTGTTCATTTTAGGTCTTGAGATATGATAGTATATAGTAATCCTAGTGTTAATACATATGTTTGTATTAAGATAGTTATTCAATGTTTCAATTTGCCATTCTAATGCCAATCACAAGAATAAATCAAAAAGCAGAGAAAAATAAAGTGGATAACAATGAAATAAATGTACTAGTGTAAGGCATGTGACAAGGCAATCAGTACCCCTTGTCCTTTAGAAGGACATCCTTCTCACAAATGATTTATTTATTTTGTTAGACATTTATTCTGTCTTATTACTTTATAGAGAATTCAAGATGGAGAACTTATCTAATATTCCTTCCTCCTCTTGATTTCCCCACAACCACAATCTAAGAAGTGGTTTGGGCTGGGAGAGAGTGTCTTGGTCACTCAGCCATTTTTTCAAGCCGAAAAGAGGACTAAAACTCAGAGTCTCTTGGTTTCTAGGCCAGCATCTGAACTACTACTTTGTTTAAAAAGGAGCAAGAAATGTCAAAATAACTTGCAATAATTTTATGCAAAAACAGGGTTGAAGGAAACCAATTTGTAAAGTTGCAAACACCACAGACAACATTTCTGAATTTCTCATATCTCTCATAAAATGATGCAAAAGACAAGAGAGGTTATAGCAAATTTCAATCTGAGCCGGATGTGTTAGTAGGAAAAAAGACTAGAATGAGCAGCAATACTTTGCAAGATGTAGCAAACCTGCAGTCAGGATGTTTGTATTTATTTGCCAAAGGCAAGTATTCTTTTTATTTGAAAACTACTTGCTCTGAGAGGTGAGCAGATGGATGTGACAAGGAGTGGCTGGGGGAGGGAGGAGGGGGGCAACGTGGAGCCAGATATGGCAAGAAGAGGATGGGCAAGATTAGGTGCCCTTTGATGTGAGTTACATTGAGTTGGCCATGCCTATTCAGCCATTGCCCATTCAGCCATGCCTACCCAGCCAGTCATTTGAGCAGAAAATCAGTTGTTAAATTATTTGAATCCCACCACCAATATTGAACAAGCCTGAAGTCAAATACAAGCAGAATGTATCACAAAACACTGATCACATAGGTTATTTTCAGATATTAGTGATCAAAAAGGCCTACTCAGAGTGATGGTAAGTTTCATCAACAATACATGCTATTTTCGACAATTTGTTATATGTGTACATATCTGCAAAAACACATGAAACTACTGAATATTTCTCAGAAGTTTATGATGCATGTACTGATTTCTGAAAATGGTTGGATTCAAAGGAATAAAATATGTTTCTCTCTCTCTCTCTCTCTTTAATGATAGACCATACCTCTTGCTCTGTGCAATGATCATTGCCCACCAGGCTCCAGAAAGAAAATGAAGGAAAGTGAGCCTTTTTGTTGCTATGATTGTAATATTTGTCCATCAAGAAAATTTTCAAATGAAAGAGGTAGGAAATATTGAATTGTTATATTTATGCATGTGCATAAATAAAGTATGTATCCATGAAGACAGCCACAGAGATTTCACACAGAGATATCACACCCTTAGAGGTCATCTCTCGTTATTTGTGAGAGTCCCATTCTAGATGAGCTCTCCAATAGCAAGTTTTAACAAATATCTATTTAACAGAGATGTGAATAGTTGTTAATGTTGCTGAATTACATCTACCAGCACTTCTGGCTTGGAAGATTGAAAGCAATGAATGATGAGAATTGTTGCACATTTCAGTTTCAAAATCCATAGTTGTCCACTGAAGTTTAATGACATAGGAGGTTTTCAATTAGTAAATATTTCTCAATAAGCAAAAGTATGCAAAATTTGAAATGCTGCTATGAATTCTGAAATACTACACATATTTTACCAGATATGGATGACTGCTTAGACTGTCCAGAAGAACAGTATCCAAACAAGGAAAAAAACTTGTGCCTTCCAAAGGATCTACACTTCTTGTCTTACAATGAAACTTTGGGCATCACTTTGGCTGTTCTGGCTTTGTCATTTTCTGTGACCACAGTGGTGGTACTTGGAATTTTCATAAAACATCGGAATACTCCCATTGTCAAAGCTAACAACCGGAATCTCACTTATCTTCTCCTTGTCTCCCTCTTCCTCTGCTTCCTCTGTTCCTTGCTATTCATTGGTCAGCCCCAATTGCTGACCTGCCTTCTTCGTCAAATTGCTTTTGGGATCATCTTCTCAGTTGCTGTCTCTTCAGTTTTGGCCAAAACCCTCACAGTGGTTCTAGCTTTTATGGCTACTAAGCCAGGATCAAAAATGAGAAAATGGATGGGGAAAAGATTTTCAAATTCTCTGATTCTCTGTTGTTCCTGCATTCAAGCAAGTATTTGCATATTGTGGCTGTGCACTGGCCCTCCGTTCCCAAATTTGGACATGCATTCTCTTCCAGAAGAGATTGTAGTTGAATGCAATGAAGGATCAGGCAACATGTTCTATTATATTTTAGGATATATGGGATTTCTTGCTCTCATCAGCTATATTGTGGCTTTCTTTGCTCGAAAACTTCCAGACTCTTTTAATGAAGCCAAATTTATTGCTTTTAGCATGCTGGTGTTTTGTAGTGTATGGGTGACTTTTGTGCCAACTTATCTGAGCACGAAAGGAAAATACATGGTAGCTGTGGAGATCTTCTCCATCTTGGCTTCCAGTATAGGAATATTGGGATCTATCTTTTTCCCTAAATGCTACATAATCCTACTGAGACCAGAACTCAACACAAAGGAGCACCTAAAAATGAAAAATTAACAATTACTGCTATCTATTGATTTGAAGAAGTTAGCACTGGCTTTATGTGGAAAGTTTGGGAGATAGAATGTTGCTCAGTTGTGAGCAGAAAGAAAATGTAGGAAAAAAATATAGCTCCAACTTGATCTCACTTTCCTTAAAATGGAGAAAGGGGATCCTTTGGAATAGCTATCAAGTGTCTGTAAATATAACATATAACAATAAAGTAATATTCCTGTAATCCCTGCAGGATCAGTTTTGTGGCCTGGCCTACTTGAAAATATTGACATGTTATTTGGAAGTAAACATATTTGATTATAATATTTCTTTTTCAGCCCTTAAAACAATGCATCTCATCAGCTAAACAAAGGCAAGATACTATATTTATCTCACTGTATAAACTGTATATTTAGGTTCACTTTTATCCTCCATTTCATACGTATTTCATATTACATATCTTCTCATTAAAATATTTCAATTATGACTGCTCTATGACAAGTACAGTGAAAGGTAGATTGCTAACCATTGTTAAAAATAAAACCATAATAGATGAAAATATAATGTACAATGGGCAAAGAACATGCCTTCTCAGAGTCTGTGGATATGAGAAAAAATTGATTGGCTGGTTCAAGCCTAGAGGATGGGGAATTCTGAGAGTTGAAGGCCACACATCATAAAATTGCTGAGGATGAGAAACACTGAGCTCAAAATTTTCAGTGCAAACTCCTTTATTTGAAGCCACAGTAAGCTAACCCATCTCAACTGGTCTGATTTTTTGGCCAACCTGCTTCACAAAGTGAGGCATAAAAAAGTATGAAGGTGATAATGGCTAATTTATTTATACCTAAAATTGGAAAGTATTTGTATCTGGGGACCCCATGTCTGCCCTCCCATCCATGTACAGTGGAACCTTTGGTCGGAAATGTTTCTATTCATGACCAAATCAGGTGACGACCAGAATTTTCAGCAAATTTTTGTTTCTAGTCACAAACACATCTTCACCTGGAGACGAGACACAGCTGCAGAAATTTTCCCTGCTGTGATGATTTCCCTTTCGGTGCCATTCTTTTATCTGCGCATGCACAGACAGTCATGCTTCCGGTCACAACCAAATTGGGTTGCAACTGTAGTCCTCAAATGAATTATGGTAACTACCCAAGGTTCCACTGTATTCTTAGATACTTCAGAGAAAATTGTAAGGTTCTTTTGGTTATAAGAATTCACTACAAGATATTTAATGGATAAAGTCAAAGGACTGTTCACTCCATCATATTATCATATCATATTATTATCATGCCCTTAAGAATTAACTTATTTCTTGTCCTGGAAGTATGAGACCAATTTATGCCTCGTAGTCACTGATAAATTTATCTTCAGTGGTCTGCAATTCTTTCCAAGATACTGGTATATAATTTTTGATTGATAATATGAGTTATTATGTAATGTAACTGTAATTGAGACTACGAAATGAATGCACAAAAACTGGTAAACCAACCGAAACACTGCTTATATATTTATGAAAGAAAGATGGATGTTTTTATGTTTTGTTTATTTTGTTTGTCTTTAAAAACTAATAAAATTGTTTTCAAAAAATAATAATTAATTGTTATCAACTGTGATTAAGATTTAAGATATATAACTAGATTAATTATTGTAACTGTTGTAAACTTAGGACTCGAGACTTATTGGGTATAATTTAGCCGATTGGATACAGGAAAGAAAAGATGTTAATAATAATACAAGGATAAACAGTGGAAGGAAAGAGAGTGGTGAAAAGAAGGTGGGAATTTTGGTTGAAAGGTGATATTTTTGAAAAGATTGTGGAAGATGACAACATGAATTTGACAAAGATTGGACTTGGGAAGGAAAGACTTCACAGGCCTCAACGATGGCGTCCAGCCCTTTGACACAGAAACCAATTGAAGATGTGGTAGAAAAAGAATGAGCGACCCCAATAAATGTTTACCACTGATGCTACAAAGCATGCAGGAACTAATGATAAAGAACCATGAAAAACTGAAAAAGGAGGTTGGTGTGGTCAGGAATGACTTGGGAGAACTCAAAGAAAGGATGTTGGTAATGGATGCTAAATTTGAGGACTTTCAACAATGAGTAAACAAAAATGAACAGAAGTTGGAACAAATGAAAGTAAGAATGAACCAGGAAGAATTGAAAGTAGATGAAATTAATAAGAGGCTAATGAAATCTAACAAAGAATTTGAAACTTCACTCATCTTCCTTGAAGCAGAAAAAGCAGCCTGGTATCTGCGCTTCCAAAATATTAAAGAGGGTTAAGCCCTCCTTGCTGATGATCCGGGGACCATGATTATCCATGGCTTTGGTCTGTGCTCTTTCATCGAAGAGCTCCAATCATCATGATCAGGGGCTGAATCTACCTCGGAGGGGCAATAGAGTAAGGGGAAGCCACCAGTCAGATCAAGGGAGCTGCATCTCCCCCCCTTGGCTTGGCAATTTTTCCCCCTGAGTGGTGGTCTAAAATGGCCACCCAGAAGAGGAGGAGTTAGCTGGATTAAGAGTTGTGCAGGAGTGAAGAAAGAGGTGGATAACATAACGACCAGGATAATTTGGCACAATAACAAAATAAAAGGTACCCCGGGATTGATGTTTTAAGAATCTTTAAGAAAGAAAAAGAAAGCAGCAGAATTATAAAGGGAAGGGGGAAAAAAAAGAAAATAATTTTGACAGCTGAATGGGGCTTCAAACCAGGAAAGGAAGAAGCCAGAACAAAAAACTTAAATAAATTGTATTAAAATATCTTGGCAACAAACAGGCATAAATTAAAGCTGGATTTAAGAACATTAAAAAGAGGGAGGAAATATATAAATTGGAGACTTCATTGTTTTGGAATATTGAGGCTTGGAAATCCCTGAACAATAAAATGGGGGGGGGGGTGAGGACTTTGTATAATGAAGAGTGCCATCTTGTGGACAAAGATTTAAACTGAAAAAGAAAAAAGAAAAAAAAATCCTGTTTCTCTATGAATTTGACTTGATACAATGAAAAGGAAATATTGAAAAAACAAAACAGTTACCCCAGAGAGTGAAAGTTGAACTAGAATAAAAGAAAAAGTAAGAAAAGGTGGGTTGTTGGACTAATTGGTGACTTTGGTATCAACCCAGTGTTGGAATAATTGTGAATCCAGAAAGCTTGAAGAAAAAGAAAGAACAGGAGAAGTTGATTTGTGGATTTTAAAGACTATAAGATATAAGAGCATGCAACCATGATATTCTGCGGGAATTAAAAGTGGTACTTAAAAATATGAAAGAACTACTACATGCAAGAGGTGGATCATTTTGCTCTGTTTTAAAAGCTATGGAAATGGCGATTGAAGAACTTGAAAAAGAAACCTCAGAGAAGGAGGAGTTAGTTCAAGAAGAAGCCATATTAAATAGACAATTAACACAAAGAACACTACAAAGAAGAGAGAAAAGAAGGGGGCGTTAAAAAATAGGAGATTCCAAAGAGTAACTAAAAAGGGGAATACCCTTATTTAAAAATAAGAAAGACAGGAAGAAACAGCAGAAAAATAAAAGGGGGAAGGAAGATACAAAGAGGAAGAGGGACACAAATCAGAGGTAGAAAAGATTTGGAAAAGTAAAAGGGAAGAGAAGTAATGAGGAACAGGAACAGGAAATAAATAAATATGGGAATTGTAAAATAATGGAAAACATTGTTTATTTAGAATACATAGGGATAATGGTTAATGAATTAAGAAAGGGGATTCCTTACTGATATGAGGGGTAATAAGAATGTATTTGTGGGAAGAAGGTGGAGCCTCCTCACTGACGGACCGTAGATCATGACTCTCTGCAGCTATGGTCTGTGCTCTTTCATTGGAGAGCCCTGATCACTACGATTAGGGGCTGAAGCTGCCTTGGAGGAGCGGAGGAGTAAGGAGAAGCTGCAAGACAGGTTGAGCGGAGCCACATCTCCCCCCCGGGCTTGGTCTTTTTCCCCCTGAAGACAATGGCAGAAGTGGTTTAAAATGCCAACCCGAAGAGGAGGACTCAGCTGGATTAAAATTTGTGCAGGACGGAAGAAAGAGGTGGATAACATCTGAACTGGGACAACTGGACAATACAACTAAACAAAAGTATCCCGGGATTAAGTTAACATGGAATTTTTAAGAAAAGAAAAGTGAGTGGCAAAATTACAAAGAGACAGGGAGGAAAAAAGAAAATATTTTTGACAGCTAAGCAGGGCTTCGAACCGGGAAAGGAAGAACCTTGAACTAAAGATTTAACTAAATTGGATTGAAATATTTTGGGAATAAACAGGCATAAAATGAAGCTGGACTTAAGACTGTCAAAAAATAATAATAAAGTTCAAATAATTGAAATGAATTGTGAGGATGCTTT